GATAGATAGATAGATAGATAGATAGATAGATAGATAGATAGATAGATTTATATAACAATAACTAATAAAAAAAAAGAGGCGATGCATTTGAAAGAAAAAGTGGAGTTTTATGTAAGAGGATTTGAACACAAAAGGGGGAAGGGAATTATATTTATGTAATTATATTATTATATCATAATCTCAAAAATAAAGGAAATTAAAAAATTTATTCTCTGCCAAAGGTTTGGTCATGAGTCTTTGCTTTGAAAACACTGCTAGGTAGAGTCTTTCAAATGCGCTCAGTAGGCTCCTGTCAATGTTCAATGCGTATCCCATCTGTCTTTCAAAACGAGGATTGATAATCTTACCCCATGTCCGCTCTCTTGATTATCTTTTTTAGGTGTATAGATTTCATTATGTTTATTATATCTTATAGGTCTATATAAGTGAGTATATACCGTGTTTGTCTTTCTCCTTCTGGGATATTTCACTCAAAACAGGATCAGATGAATGGGGAGGAGGTCCCCCCTATCAGTGGACTTTGAAAGGGGCACGGTGGAGAGGAGGGAGGGAGGGAGGGACTGGGAGGGAATGAGGGATCGGGACACGGCTGGGGTACATAGTTAATAAAATGTAACTGATAAGAAAAAAATAAAATACGAAAAAAAAATAAAAAAAATTTATTCTCATAATTATGTTTCCTGGAAGTTGGTGCTTTGGTACCATTTTCATTTTAACCTTAAGGGGTGAAACAATAGAAAAAATACACCATGTCTTCAGTCAAAGGTCTCAGTTATTTACAGCAGTTGACTGGGCTTACTATGAAGTCAGCGTAGCGATGATTATCACTTCACATATATTCTGTTCCTCATATGTATCAGAAAATTATATATTTGTGCCAGAGTCAAAGATCACTTCAGCATGCAATACTGATAGGAAAATCATCCCTTCATTTATTATTTCAAATGGAAATATCTAACCTATTGGATCATCAAAGTAATTATATTCAACAACTAATCAGCTATATTTCAGAGGGGATCATTAATTGGAAATACAATTTTTATAGTTACTTTTACAAGTCATCCGGCTTTTGTGATTTCCATGACTTAGGCATCTCACAGATCTTAAAATTTTTCAGATCCAGTTAGGTAAATAAATTATACAGAGCTCAAACCTATTTTCATTCTCCATTCATGTACAGTGAGGTCAAATCCCAATGCCTGTCTTTCATAGTTAAAGTTACTGCCTCACCCAGGAAATCTACAACAGAATCTCCAACTGAGAAGTTTGCAAGAAAGAAGAGCCATTCAGAGAGTTAAAAAGGGATGCAGAATATTTTCCCACTGTGGGGGTGCTCATACAATATGAAAGCAGCTGCGTGCTTAAGTCTCGGTGCCTCAAATATGTTTGAACAGTATCACTAAGCCCATAACTGGAGCGATATACAAGAACCACATGTTTTTGCAGTAAACTACTTGACAATATAACTATTTCACAGAATAAGAAGGTGCCTCTGGAAGAGCAGGATTCTTGATTTGCTAACATGTGTCAACATTTGTTTTAGAATGTAAGTACACAGAAACATGAGATAGCTATTGTCTCTTGACCTTCATTCACATCAACAATGAATCTCAGCTTTTGCCAGCTCCTCAGCTGTCTATCATGAGATTTTCTTGAGACAGCTTCATAAAGTAGAGGAAATCTTCAGTATCTCCATTTTTGGAATTATTTCGGACAACACGGGAAACCGAATCCTAATCATCAACTGCCCATAATGTAATAATCATATTCCAATAACCTGGCTGCCATTACATTGAAATGATTTTTAAAATTTACAAATGTATTCATTTGTTACATATTCTTTAATATAATTGCTATGTATAGATTGGCAATATGAATCAATAAGAAAAATGTATATGCTTAAAGGTAGGAATGTATATACTTAATGTATATACTTTGTATATACTTAAAGGTAGGAAAGAAAATGGGTAAAAGTCAAATTATGAATCACTCTTTTAAGTTTCAATAGAAGCATACAATAGTGACTTGTTTTAATTTTCTCAAATTCTAGGAATTTTTGAAAGGGGCATGATGTGAAGCTGCTTTAAAAATTAGTGAGAAAAAAAGTTAGTGAGAAAAAAAAGTAAAAATTAAGAGCTGAGAGGAAGGCAAAAGGGACCGACTGACTGTTCAGGGTATGCTTTTGTAACATCAGCTATCTCAGCAAACCACAAACAAAATAAAGCTCCCCCTTACAAGATTAACAGATGAACCTACTATTAAAGACTCACTGAAAATCTCAAGAATGAAGAATTGGAAAACAAAGCAGCTCATATTTCAGCTAAGAATGTCTGAATCCTATAATTCAGTCTGATTGGAGATGTCTACCTCACTGACTTTCAAAGGAAAACGAGCTGGGGACCATTCTCAAATCTATAACATAAAGGCTAGACTAGCTTTACTTCAGTGTCTAATCTGAGGGATCAGAGTTCTGGCGGCTCTTCAAATTCCTCTGTGCTTAAACACAATTTCAACTTTTAATCAACATATCATGACATTTAACTTCCAACCAGGACCCTCTTAGTGAATCCTTCTTATCTGAACACATCCAAGGTCCTCTAAGATATAACAGTCTCTCTTAGTTTTTCTTAATGTGTTACATTTGTAAATTAAGAAAACAAAAGACAATTTTGCCAAACAATTTAACTTTTTAATACAACCGTGATTTTCTCATTTGAGTCAATCCATAATGTTAATTACTCTTTACAGAAATCACAAAATCATTTACAATCTCTATTATTCTCTTAGAAAAAAACCTAAAGCATAAAAGATGATTATTCAGAATTAGAATTGTTGTCTCTACAATACAAAAATATTGCCCCCAAAAATAAAGTTTCCATAAAAATCCTTCCCAATGATTCATTGTAATTAAGAAAAATGCAGTTTAAAAATGTTTCCTAGTTTTTATATTAGACCATGAAATTCTACAGTATGGACAAAACAGACTTATTATTGGATATATGTATGTTTATGTGTGTCTGTGTGTGTTCTATGTGGGGCATGTATATTTTTTCACACATGGAGGATAGAGCACATACAAATATATATATGTATATATATATATACATATATATATATATGTATATATATACATATATATATACACACACACACACATATATTTATTTCTGAGTGACATAATGTTGCAGTGTCCTATATTCACGCACTTTCCACTTGTTAGAGGTGATGCATGCATGTACAATAAACTTGGCCACAGCCTTCTTATGAACATAAAAAGGCAAGTGTGGATGCCTGAAGATTGATCACCTAATGTAGTTTCCTGTTAACAATTCTTAATTATTTATAAATTCTAAAGCTTGGTAAAACTAGCATGTGGTGCCTCATACCTCATCAGAACACAAGCCTAGTTCATCGTGAAGATTGTAATTGGTCTTTCCTGATTATAGGCTGAAAAATTGATGCTTTGCTTAATCTCACTTGAAATGAAATGCCTTGCTTTATTGTTTAGTCTCTATTCTTAAATACTGTAAGACTTCAGCTGCACACAGAGAAGGGCAGATTAGACAAGAGACTCACCTTGGCAGACTATCCAGAAGATTTCTTTGTATAGATAGGCTGAGCAATACCAATATCCTCTGCTTTGCATTTAACACAATATATAATTGTTTCTATTCAAAGAAAATCTAAAATTACCTTTAAAATCTATTATAAACTTATTTTAAAATGTTACATATTTTGCTTCAAGTTGTTGATCACTGGTTTCCTAGGGACCCCTCAAAACAATAGACTATTGCCACTGTTTTTAGCTGCTCACCAGAACTTGACAGTAAGACAGCATTGTTGATAGTTGATAATAAGACACTTTAGTGACAGAACATGGAGAAGCCAGGCTGGAAGAGTGGAAGCTTGAAACTTCTTCACTGATAG